TGGGGACTTGTACCTCGTTGAGCCCTATCTATAAAACTGGTAACCGCAGACTGTGCATACTAGAATTGTTTGAAGGGAGGGGAAGGAATCAAAAGAATCTGCCAAGTAGAGGTATTAACAAACTCGGCATTACCACAAGCTATCAGTGTTTCAGACGGGGTGTGGGCAGTAGCCACCCAGAAACATATCAGCCTGTCTAGGGTATGTGGGGAGAGTCCACAAGGACATTAAGAAATAAGGCCACCGTTATCCCTGGTGTCGCTACCCATGGGATGTTCGGCGGTTGGGGTGTCCATCTCCTTGCCCCCTATTACCAGATGGAAGAAAGGTATGAAGAAAAAGATTCACTCATAGAGATGATTGGTAGAGGCTTAGTCAATTGTACAGAATTATGGGAGCCGATAGTAAAGAGATTCTCTAATGTTACCTTAAATAAGATGCCAGTATTAATGAAGCCAATAGAAAAGATCGATATGGATCACTTAAGGGATAAGTTAAGTGCGTTGGGAGACGAAGGTGTAGCTTGGGAAGACGATGAGCAGATCGCGATAAGTTGGTCAATAGTAATGGGTACATTCCTAGTTATAGCCCTCGGGGGTGTAATAATATGGAAGATTAAGAGTAAGAGAAGATTAGCGAACGACAGTCTAGTGAGCATGCAACAACTCGAGAGGGAGATGCCGAGCAGTGTTCCTTACTCAGACAGGACTGGCGAAGAAATTGCTGGAAAGACCAATGGAGGAGGCTGGCGTGAGACCACCACGTGCGGCGGAAAAACCTCCCACAGCAGAGAGGAAAACATTGACCAAGAAGAACAAACCCTAATGAACACATCTGCACCTACAACACACACATTTCATTGCATGTAAACAAAAGAAAATGAAAAGAACATTTCATTGCATGTAGAACAAAAGAAAATGAAAAGAACATTTCATTGCATGTAGAACAGAAGAAAATGAAAAGAACATTTCATTGCATGTAGAACAGAAGAAAATGAAAAGAAATTTCATTGCAAAAAGAAAAAAAGAACATTTCATTGCATGTAGAACAGAAGAAAATGAAAAGAACATTTCATTGCATGTAGAACAGAAGAAAATGAAAAGAACATTTCATTGCATGTAGAACAGAAGAAAATGAAAAGAACATTTCATTGCATGTAGAACAGAAGAAAATGAAAAGAACATTTCATTGCATGTAGAACAAAAGAAAATGAAAAGAACATTTCATTGCATGTAGAACAAAAAGAAAATGAAAAGAACATTTCATTGCATGTAGAACAAAAGAAAATGAAAAGAACATTTCATTGCATGTAGAACAAAAGAAAATGGAAAGAACATTACCCTTGCATGTTAGAAAGTAGAATAGAATTGCATGAGACAAATGCATGGTGCATGTTAAATGATGTAATTGGGTTTAGGTGTCATTTACGGGTAAATGACAAATCGGTTAGGGGAGGATTGTGGCACCTTGCATTATTAGAAATATTCATAGAAATATGATTTAATTTTTTCTTACTCAGTTTATTAAACAGGTTGTTAATTTTTTTTTAAAAACGGAAAATAACTGAGTTGAAAATAATTCACTAAGAGTGTACTAGACGATCCTAAGGAAAGAAGAAGGAAAGAAAGAAAAAAAAGGAAGGAAGGGAAGAAAAGAAAGAAAGAGAAATGTATGACGCATGACCCAATTGAGGGTGGAGATAGGAGTCAGAAAGAGATTTAGGTCAGCGTCTTGGCCGATTTTCGAAAGTCATTTTGGTAAGAATGTCGGTCAGAGCACCTAGCCTACTTTTGCATGGAAAGACACCTTATCAATTTGGATAAAGAGAAATTTTGGGAACAATGAAACAATTTTTAATCAGAGAAAAAAGTGTCTTTGGGTTGAGGGGAGTGACCGGTGGAACGATATACAGACCTGTTAAGAATTGGACACCCACGTTAATAAAGTAGAGACATTTCAATGTAGATAATTAAGATTTTCGACTATCAGGAAAAACAAAGAGGTAAAAAAGAGGGACAATTGCTTTTGGCTCACAGAGGGCGCCAAGAAGGCGGAAAAGATCCTTTCTAAAGTCAAGACTAATTAGCAGCGGGCTGTTTGACAAAGTCCAGGTGAGAGAAAGCCAAAGATTGTCATTTTGCGTACGTGCAAAAAAGGGGCAAAAATTGGATTTTTTTTTTTTTAAACAAGAACGATGTAACCACGCCCGCAAACAGAGGGGAGAGGATGTTCGATCAATAACAATTGGTCGAATACGATCACGTGACCTGCGGAAGAAAAGGGAAAGAAATGTTTGATCAATAACAATTGGTCGAATACGATCACGTGACCTGCGGAAGAAAAGGGAAAGAAATGCTCGATCAGGAACGATTGGTTGAAAAGCGGTCACCTGACATACGAGAGACTAAGAGAGATGGATGTGCGCCGCCCCACCAAAGGTACTGCGAGGAAGTAGGGGCGAAAACAATAGCGATAATGGAGAAGACAGAATTAATGCAGTTTTTGGAATTATCGAGAAAACCCTGACGCCGACAGACCCACCCCAGTTTGTTGCGGCGTCAATATAAGCAGGACCCCAGTCGACAGAAATCAGTTGAGTTGGAGTTGGAGTTGCAGTTGAGAGTTGGACCGCGGGCAGGGATAGAGCCTGAACGCGGCCATCAGGCCCGATTCACTCGCCCCTTTGCGGGCAGAAGAATCCTCAGACAAGAAATCCTTCCAGCCCAAGTCGAAGACAGGAGAACTTCCAGCCCAAGTATGAAGAAGAAGATTGCCTGAAAGCCTGAGAAGAATTGGAGATGCAGACAAGCCGAAAGTCGATGAGAAGTTAAAGTTCATCCCCGGACGGCAGCGAGAAAAGAACCCTCAGACAAGAAGAACTTCCAGCCCAAGTAGACGAAGAAGAAGATTGCCTGAAAGCCTGAGAAGAATTGGAGCTGCAGACAAGCCGAAAGTCGATGAGAAGTTAAAGTTCAGCCCCGGACGGCAGTGAGAAGAGACCACCTCAGACGACAGAGAGTTGCGGCTAAGTTGAAACAAGAAATCTTCCACCAAGTTGAAACAGGAAAACTACCAGCCCAAGCAGACGAAGAAGAAGAAATACAACTCAAGTCGGAGAGAAGAATCAACTGCGAATGATCGATAGAAATTAGCCCCAGTGTCGAACTGAACCACACTCCGACATACATACATGATTCTAGAAAGTAGGTAATTCGACATTTTTCTATTGTGTGATAGAAGCTTGGTGCCATAGTCCACAGAGCGGGTCGGGAAATGAGAACAATTTTGTTTTTATGTAACGGACTTTAAGATATAAAAGGTTGTTACCCTTTTTATCAGCAATTTTGTTTGGTGTCGTGAGTTTTTATTTTATTTGTGTTTTGCCACCCCCGTCGGACTCAACTTGTATCGGCCCCGATCCCTGCTGGTCCCGTCTGTCTAAGATCTAAACACAGCGTGGGTAGACAGACCGGAGATCGGTATAGTTGCTTTAGTGACCAGGTATTGGAAGCGAGTCGGGAAAGGCGAGGCTGGTGATCATCTGACCAAAGGGTTGGAGCGGCACGCTTGGACCCAGGAGCTAATAGATAAATGTTTGAAAAATTAAAAAAGCTTCTTTCCGCACAAATGATAAATTTGAAGAAGACCGTATAAGCGACAGGCTGAAACATTACAGCAACAACAAGAGTAACAAAACGAATGAGTTAAGCAATCTGGCAAAAGCCTGGAAAGAAAATAACTTATTTAAAAATTGAAGAATATCTTGTGAATGAACGAGATTGGAACAACAACATTTATTATAAGACGAAAAATGTCTGGTCAATTCTTGGGATGAGAAATTCAGAAAATATATTTGGAAACCGTTTTCAATTGTAATAATTAATATTATAACAAAAAATTATTAAAATTTATAACAAACTTCATCACTGTAGTCAAATTGCAAACTGGCTTTTAATTTCGATAAACGCCGGAAGAGTCCAATATATATATATATAAACATATAATAAATTAACTGATTTAAAAGGGAAATTCAAAACCGAAGTTAAAAACTTCAAATTAAATTATAGCGTAAATTAAAAATTAGTTCTGTTTTCAAATTCTGGAATAACTTTTTTAAATTTACTGAAGAATAAACCGGACAATTCATAATTTTGTGATTCAATTATTAGATTAAAGTCATTTCGACCATATTTAAGAGTGGAAAAAATATCATTATTTCAACGCCTTTATCCACTGCGCCATGTGTATGAATGGAAATAGAACAGTCTACCCCTGAAAGGGTTCAGTTCGACATTTTAACATATAAATTTGTGAAATATCCAAGAATGAGGAATATAATATAAATATGACAATAAATATAAATCATGCACAAATATATAGTTTGGCGAAACAATTTAAACTATATAATACCAAAGGATTATCGTGAGCGCCTTAGGGATTTGATATAAATTAAATGTTGTGGATCCACCAATGACCTTAAAAAATTCAATTTATTTTTTTTGGCAGCAAAACTTTAAACCACCTTTAACGTCCCTTTTTCAAAACCAAGGAAAGTCATCTAGAGGTCGTGGTTGAAACCAATGGTGATTATATTGAATAAGTTTTAGTTTTTCAAGATACTTTTGTGTAATTTTGGAAAATATACCTGTTAAAATGAGATATCAGTGTTATAAGAAAAAAACGACAATTTGAATCCATATCCCTGTATATATATCATGACACCTAACACAACCTCTTCTGCAGCATTTGAAAAGAAGAGAGGACATGCCCCAGGAAGTCAGCGATGCTACCATTGTCTTCATTTACAATAAGAAGGTCTGCAAACCAGACTGTGACAACTACTGAGATATGAAGATAGATAGATATGAAGAGAATTAGATAGATATCTTTCCGGTCTTTTGCTGGCAAGATCTTGGCTCACGTCATCCTCAATCGCCTGATTTTTAGCGTCTCCGAGAACTTACAAGAAGCCCAGTGTAGTTTTCATCCAGGCTGATGACATGATCTTTGCAGTTCGTCATGTACACGACAAGTGCAGAGATCAGTATGCAGTCTTCATCGACCTGAAAAATGTCTTTGATACTGTCAACAGTGTAGCCTTGCGGACATTCGTTCAAAAACGTGGCAGCCCAAATTTGTTACCCTCATCTATTTCATTCACTTCATCTCTCTCTAATTCTCTTCATATCTAGTTATCTATTTCTCTTCATGTCTATCTTCATGGCTGCCTATCTAGCAAGAAATGTAAAGTTATTTGCAGCTTTTTTTCTCTTAATCAGGCTTTCAAAGTATGCAACTCTTCAAGTGTATCGACTCAGCAGAATCAGTGCTACACCCATTTAAGATATGCCTATTTACGAGAGCATATGCGGAAACAGCGAGGAATCATGGACACACACGTATCAAGAGGACTATATATATATATATATTTTTTTTTTTTTCAGGGAATAGCATTTTCATCCTTTTCTTTATAGTTTATTTTCTTTTCTCTGTTTCATTCTTTTCAAGCCTTTCATTCAATCTTTACAAATCCATCATATTTCTTTGTTTCCTTCATTTGCCATTTTACCATATTTTTTTTATTCCTCTGTTTTCAGTTTCTTTTTTCTTTGCGTTTATCTTTCTCTTTCTTCTCCTTTTTCCTATTTTCTTTTATTCCTTATGTTCCTATTCATTTCTTCGATTCATTTTTCCTTCTACTTCCTTTTTTCCTTAATGTCTTTCCTATCTACTTTCTTCATATTCTTCCCACTCTCATTCCGCCATTTTAATTCTTTGTCTCTTTTCATCTGACTCCCTTTCGTACAATTAAAATAATAAATGACCCATTAATATTTTCTTTAATTTCTTTTCGTCCGCCTGAAGCATTATAAGATTGTTTCTTTTGCTTTTCTTTCATTAATGTCTAATTTTTGTCTCTTTCATTCCTTTCTACTTTCATTCATTCATTTCCTTCCATCATCTTCCCATATCTTTTTTTGCGTTCTTCCTTCCGAAGTCTTTTCATTAATTTCTAACGTCATTCATTCTCTTTCCTTTGTTTATTCTTTCATTTTCAAATCATGCAGACCGATTCTTTTGTAGGTATCCCCAAAAGTTCATTAAAATCAATGATACCCGATGAAAAAATGTCCAAGGAATAATAAAACATTAATCGCCAAATTTATTTTGACAACATGATTTGAATAAACAGTACCCAAACAGTTTGGTTAAAAATGTTTATTAATAGTTTACATGTAATTGTTCAATTACCTACGTATCAACACTTTTGTTATTTAATTTCGAATAAAGTCTTATAGGATAATAATCTCGATGAATTTATAGATAGGTAAACATAGGTCCAGTTTGCACAGAGAGTCAAATAAGAGATAGACACTGGTCCGGTTTGCACAAGAAGTCAAATAAAAGATAGAGACGGGTCCAGTTTGCAAAAAAAGATCGTTCTCTCATAGACACGTGTATTGATTGGCACATATATTTTTAAAAAAGACAGACTCGGGTCCGGTTTGCACATGGAGTCAAAAAATGATAGACACAGGTCCAATTTTATACTAGACTAAAAATCAGTGGGACATGTCTTGTGCGCAGTAGAATAAAAAAGGGAGATAATGATTGGATTACACCCGAAATCTGCAACTATTATTCGCTACTTGGCGCCTTTTAATGGGCGTATTTCAGTAGGGGATACTGTCAGTGTATTGTAAGCCTCGTTGACAAACTATTAATCGAAACATGATACTTTTTACACCACAAGATTGAGTAATTCTTACGGCATGACAGGCACAGTTCCTGTATTTCAAATGTTGCATAACGATGGATCTGAAGTAGAAAGAAAAAGTAATCATCGAGTAGTCGATCAAAGAAGGGCGTACTGCCTTCAACTTTTACAGAAGACGGCGTGGCGGCAAGAGATGAGAGAAATAGTTTAAAGACCGTCAAATCAGCGTTGAAGACAAATTGCTTTGTGGAAAGTCATCGCTGGCATTGTCTGAAAGAGGTTTTACAAAGCAAATTTAACTAGAGTCTTCAAAACGTGGCGCAGATACATCTCCATTCGGTAATGATCGTTTTCCTAACATCAACCTTTAGAGATTGTTCAGGAAATAATGTCCGATTTTAGAATAAATTTTTAGTGCTCTAATATCCTACCATTATAGTAGTACAAAAATATATTACTCATTCCTAATGGTTAAAGTATCGTCTTTGTTAATTTATTATTAATTTCTTTCAGAATTTATAACTAAAAGCATTAGAGACCCGTCATCTTAAACATAAAAGAAAGAAGAGATGCGTTTACAGTTATTTTTATTTTTTTTTTTTGCAGGAGTTCAAATTGTTCTACACATACATGTAGGTACCGCCATAGATTCGCTAAAAATGAGCATGCATAATGAAAAAAATGATCAAAAATAATAAAAATTAAGTTTTATCATCAAAATCTATTATTAAGAGGGAAAAAAATTCTTTGATAATTAAATTATACTTTTTAATCCTTTTTAGAACCTTCAGAAATTTGGTTAAAATTTTATTTTCTATAATTCGTTGGTGGATAGCGGTTCGGATTGAAGAATCGGAGAGAAGAGTTCGAATTCCAGTCGAATCTATTACATTCACTTACGTGGTAATACCCTTGGGAAAGGTATGAATCCTCTTCTTTTCCACCCAGCTACGGGTAAATAGCAGGACAAGGTTCTATAGGCTTGGATGGCAGCTGGTCTACCGAAGAAAGAAATGGCAACCTACTGCGGGAAAACATCAGCCTCGTCAGTCATATATTGAAAAATGCATGATCGCCTAAGAGCGTATCACGCATGGTGCATAACTGACTGACTGATAATTTGTTGACTATAAATTAGTATAGAAAATTTTAGCGTCTTTTTTTTTTAAATTAAAAAAAAAAAACACATTGACAAAAATTTGCAAAATCAAACAAATTATGGGATTTTAATGAAAGTATCAAGATTTGTTCACAAATGAATTAAATTATTCTAGAAATGTTTCTTTTTTTTTTTAAAATCTTCGTAAAAACATTTTAATATGTTACCCCCACCATCCACTTATTTAATTTAATGAAATTTCGAGAAATTAATTTTTGTACCGCTTAACGTTTATATTAGTTATAAGCAGAAATCGTTGAAGAATTAAAATCATCAATTTATTTTGTAAAAGAAGATCCCCAGTTATTATGGACACTACAGTCTTAAGGAAAAAACAAATTTCGATGATAATGAAGTTTTACAAGAATTGTTTACATTTTTTTTAACTTTAATTAGAATAATTTATAAAGTTTTAAATCTCTTAAATTCTCTATTAATTTGTAGCGGCTAGCGCATATTGTTATTAAATAAAAACTATATTTGCTAATCATAAATGGTAAAGTTAACTACAATTCTGCGATTCCAATACTTTAAAAAGAATTTTGATTTTTTTATGTCTGTGGATCAACGTGCCAATTTTTTAAATATCGACGTCCATACACGTCATCATCAGAAAATAAGAGCTGAAATTATTATAGATTTAAAGCCAAAGTACCTAAAATTCAATAAAACATTAAAACTTTTTCTTAAATTTTTACGTTATATATGCATTATATTCAAATAATTTTTGCAGATATGTCCCCCGTAAAAAAATTCCAACTTTCGAGATAGTTGTCAACAACTTACAAAATAACACCCACATCCATATTAAAATGCTTTTCTCTGATATTTTAAACTAAAAGTAAGTAATATTTGTTTCAAAT